TCCACTCCATGCCTCATGATAATATAATACCGTTTAGTATAACTTATGATGTGGCACCACCTAACCCTAACCCATTATGTCTAATCATGAGACAAGTTTTTTTAACAACAGTTTTACTTTCAATTATTTTTGGAAAAACTAAATATTATCAGTCACTTGACTGGATTTTTTTCTCATGACTTAAAATACCTATTAAAGGCTAAAATGCTTAAAATAAGACAGCATACCTAAATGTATGTATTGTAGGGCCCTATGAAATCCGTTTTATTTTTTTCCCCAATTCCGTTTTTTTTCCGTTTTAATTTTTGGGAATTGTTTTTTTTTGGCTATTATTTTAGTTGTAAAAAGAGTGTGCTTTTAAAGTTAATGATTAAAATGTATTAAAAAAATACAAAGATATTAGGAATGACCTTAATTTATTGAGGTAATACAGACATGCGTTCTTCTCCCACACTAAAATAGAATTTTAAACCAAATATGTAAAATTCCACGAAATTCCGCGTTAATTGGCCAATTCCGTCCAAGATTCCGTGATCGCAGAAATCATAGGGCCCTAGTAATGTCTGTTTTGTAGCCATATGACTGAAAATCAGCCTTACAGTGACTTGCTGTCCACAGCAAAACTGATAATTGCTTTGATGGTAGAAAAAATTGCAGAATTTGCCATTACGAAATCACAAAAAAACGTGGTAGTTAAAATCCTGTAGGCTCCTAGTTTTAGAGATCCAACTCACCAAGACAAGACAAGTGTCGACCAGAGAGAACGTTCCAGATCGCCCAATTCCTGCACTGCAGTGAACCACTGCTGGACCATGGTCCACCCCGAGTGAACCAGACTCTCTCACCTTAAGCAGGAAATTCAGAAAGCTGGCTGGGGATTCTGGGACACCAAAATCAGGCCATGTGGTATAATGAAAGTGATAAATCTCTCTTCTCTCCCCCGTCTAAGTGGATACAATTAATAAAAAGAAAAGTATAAGATATTAAAATTGCTCAAAGCAATTAAAATCTGATTCTGTAAAAGCATGAATGTGCGTTTCAGTGGTCAATGTGAGAAACTTACATTTGCATTCTGGAGTTCCAGCACTCTGGTGGTGTAATATGACTTGACGTCCTCTGACACTAGCGTTACCACAAAGCGTGTGTCACGGAAGGACATCTCTCGTTCTTCTTGTGTCGGCCAATATTGTGCACACTTTTCCTGCATTAAGGAATGTGTGGAAATAATGAAATGTAGAAGCAGATTTAGAACATTTATTTAAATGAAGTGGTAAAAACTTCCTGATATAAAATTGTTTTTAAAACCTAAGAGGTTCTACAACATCCAAAACAAATGAACATGAGATAGTTATTTGAGTTATCTGGCCAAAATTAGGATTTGGTAAATGGACTGCATTTATATAGTGCTTTCAGAAACCCAATGGCCACCATTGCACTTTACATTTTTGCCTCTCATTCACCCATTCATACACCGATGGCGGTTACAGCCATGCAAGGATTATTCTTTAAGGATTATTAAGCAGCTGGGGTTATTCTTATTACGTTTTATATAAAATACCCTAATGTCATACAAAAATAAAAAGGACGGCAATTCAGCTGTAGCATTATTTTTGTTGGTTATCAAGGCAACATTTCACAAGGCAAAATATTTTTTTGTTACATTTTTCTTATCTAATATTTATATTATTTAAATTATAGAAAACTAGTTTTAATAGTCTTCTTAACAGTATTATACATATATATTTAGATTCCTGAGCTTTCTTATATGAATTAAGAAAAAGCAATAACATTTTATTGTTGTATCAATGAGTATGGAGGCTGAAAGTGTGGTGCTTTCAAAGAGAAAGAGTTTAAATGAATGTTTACCGAGCCTTTTTCTATTACTCTGTTGAGCATGATAACTGCTTTGGTCTTCTGCTCCCAGATCATCAGCCAAAAGTGACCACAGGTGTTTCTCAGAGGACCCTAAAAATAGAGAAACACACACAATAAGAAGGGATGGGTCACAATAACATGGTTTATGCAAGAACTCCTTTAAAGGGATAGTTCACCCCAAAATGAAAATCACGTCATCATTTAGTCACCCTCAAGTTGTTTCAAAAGTCAAACCTCCCACAAGGTTTGTGTGAAATGATTTCACACAAAAGGTGCCCAAAAATGCACATAATAAGCATGTCTAGTAAGTTTTAATAAGAACTTAAGTAGGCAAATACTGTAAAAGAAAATAAAGACTCAAAAATTTTATAGAAGATTTAGGCTACTCAGTAAAAATTTGTTTTTAATTATTCAGTTTGGGTGAAAGTTGTGTATTATATAAAAAAACTAAAGTAAACTAGCCAAAAAATATTATATATATAAACATTCTTTTAGTTTATGTAACACATCATACAGCTGTTAAAGCTAGCACAACCCAAATCAAACCCGAGTTGGTGCTTTATTTGTGCGTTTTGTTTTTTTATCCGGGGAGTCTTGTAAACATATCGAAAGTATGATTTCTAAATTAAAAAAACAAAAAAAAAAATAGCCTTAAATTTGATAAAACTGAACTGAAGTCTTTTTAAGGGACAGTCAGCTCCACATGTTTGGAGCTTCAAGAGGAAATTTAATGGTATGGGTGAAGTTTACTTACCTGGGTAAGTATGTATCGTCTCTGGGCTTCTTCCATAACCACCAGGCTGGCATTGATGTAGTCATTTTCTGTGTTTTCTAATTTCACTCGACTGTGGTCGACTGATTTGTTTGGGAAAAAAAGGGAAACACAATATTGAATGCAATATTAAAGTTATATTACATTACATGATGAGAAGCATCATGCCTAGAACCTAGGCGAACCTGACATTACATACTTACATGGGCTCACGTCTCTGTATCTATTTCTATTGCGATTCTCTGGATACTTGGCAACTTTGAAAGCACACTCGTGTGACTGGTTGCGTATTTCCTGAAAAAGAAACAAATGCAAAGCTTCAAACAACAGTTAAATTAGGTCACCATCATAAAGTAATTACTAATTAGATTCATCAAGTTTCATTTGAGTTCATTTCCCAAGTCAACTGCCCATGTCGGGAAACACAGGACAGGAAAACCACATTTAAAAGAAATTAGCTGATCATGTTGATTTTGACTGCATGCTTCCACAAATAGTAACATAATATTACTGGAAACCTTAAGGAAGCAACATGTTTGTTTAGTTAAGGCAAACTCTATCAACAAACCATATACACTTATGAAGCCAATAAAAATATGCTTGTTTACTTAGCACCACATGAGTAAAAGATTAGAAAACCAGTTAAAGCTGTTTTAATACTTCTTTGTTCAAGAGTGCATAGGATACTAATGTATGTGAAGAATAATACAGAACAGTTGGATTTAACAGACTTCACTGTTTTTTTTGTTTTTTGTGTGTGCCAGTTAGTCAGTGATATTAGGAAAACGTAACAGTTGCTGTTTACAGTAAATATCGTGTTTAGGTCAGAAATAGTTAACAGCTGTTAGTAATATAACATTTACGGTAGGAATGTAACATTGTCGTCATCAGATGTCTGTCCGAAGACCTCGTGTTTCCTAGTAACAAGACAGCATTTTTGTCGTTAAAGACACGTTAACATGTTTTGATTTCAATCTCAGCCTACACTGTGTTTTTCTGATGTTATGCCAAATTAACAAAGTATAATAATTTATTTTTTAAAGTAATAGTAAAACAAACAGACCCAGTTCCCAAATATGCTGTGACAGTCTAGATAGGCAGTTAACTAGATTCTAGGATTCAGTTACAGTTTCACTCATAACACAGTTTACATCAGGACAACCACCATAACATCCTGGTTTTGTTGCTTTACTTTAATTGTATCCCCATTTCAACAACAGTAAAAACGAAGACCAGTGAGAGCACACTGAATCGAAGTTAAAAAGGAGACAGATAAAAGATATACAATGGCATTTCTCTAACGGCTAACGTTAACTGTAGATTGCGTGGCTCGTTAGCATGCTAACTTAGCTGACTTAGCTTCACTTACTAAATAAAGGTTCTGCCAGCGGCCCTCTGAATCTATGTCCTCAAACTCCTGCTCCATATCTCCGTCAATTCCTTCCACTTTAAGCTTGTTTTTTTTATTAAGAATGAACGTCACAACTGTAGAAATCACTCATTTCTCGTCCTCACACTGAGCCGTCAGAGAATCTGCCAGACAGTGTTTGTCCGTGTCGCTGACATTTGCGACGAGAAGCTCAGTTATCTGCGCATGCGCGCCGAGGAGAGCGGCGCTGGTCTGCTCATGCGCATGGAAAGACAGCTTCCAAGATTTCAAGATTTCAGGGCATGGCGAACATTTTTTACATTTGTTCCAAGGGGATAATCCATTATGGAATGCCAAAGATAAAAATAAATAAATAAATATACGAAGAAATGTAAAAATAAAAATAAAAAAAAAAAAAAAAAAGAAAAATTTCATAAATAAATATACAAAGAAATGTAAAATAAAGTACAAAAACATGAGTATTTATTTTTATGTGACTAATTTGACAAAGGACATTAATGGTTGTGTAATATGTCATTTTTTGACAAAGGTAAAGAAAATACTCACATTTTTATTATCCACATTTAAGTGGAAATTCTGTGGATACTTAGAAATTAAGGCATATGCTAGTGTTTGCGTGCAGAGTAGATGTACAAAAAGTGTCTTAATATTTTAGTTATACCTAAATAAATAATTTATAAAATGTAATCTTATTTAGGCAAATCTATATTTCTAAATAAAAAATAACCATTCTATATAAAATTTAATATTGAGCTGAACATGTCGATGTTTAAGATTCAAGAATTTAGAATATATTTAACATGAATTTAATATATCAAAACATTTATTGTTTTGTTAAATGTGGTCAAATTTGATTATTTTTTGGTAACTCTCGGTTGTATGGTTAATGGTGGCAGCAGTAACTCCACTAGTGCAGTAGGTGGCAGTAATCCGCTCTCAGATGATTTTCATCCCCAATAAAGCAGCGAGCAACGATTTCGAGTAAAAAAAAACATGGCGCCAGTAGAGTTAAACATCTCTCCTGAAGTTTGATTAAACGCCCATATGCTGTTTCGTTTAGTGAATTGTCTGAGATATTTTCTTGGTGGCGTCAAGTAGTAGTTTTACTAGAAGATGTTCGTGGCGAAGAGCATCGCAGCGGATCATAAAGATCTGATTCACGATGTTTCTTATGACTTTCATGGTCGCAGGATGGCGACCTGCTCCAGTGATCAGAGCGTCAAGGCAAGAAAACACTCTTTTGTGTGATCTGTTTAACTCCACAGAACTTTATAGAGACTTTGTCCAAAATTATATTTAGCTGCACACCTAGAAAATAAACCTTACACGCGCCCGTGACACCCAAGAACGCGTCTAGGCGGACAGCTCACCAGGTTTTGAGACATGATAGCCAGATATTACATTTAACAGTGGTTGAAAATGCTTTCCTGCAGTTCTACATTAGTGTGGGAATACTTTCCCTTAAGAAACGGTCTTATGTATGTAAATAATGATAATGTTTTATTAGTGCTTTTCCATTTGTGTTAAATGCGATCGTAATAACCATCAGCTTATTGTTATTATGGATATATTTAGGCTATATATTTGTATCTCCAGAGTATACTTTATGAGAGGGTATAGTTAGAGTCTATGAAATTAGAGGTTTGGTCTATTAAATAAATGATTGATAGATTTGTATTGGAGACGAATATGTTAATGTCCATCACGTCGTATGAAGGGCATTAACATATTCGACTTTAACCATGAGCCTCTTTGTGTCATGGCCCACGACAAATTTTGGTTATACAGATGTTTACGGAAACATCAATAATATCTCAGCTTGGGATGGTCTAGCAAATTTCAAGGTATTGAAACAATTTCTTGTTCCTTAGACTTAAAATTTGACTTAATGTAATGATCAAGAACTCTCAAAGTTTAGGGTTAAAAATCGTCAAGTGATCAAGAAGCCTCTATTCATTGCATCTCATGAGATCCAGATGTGGAGCTGCTATTCAATTGATTCAACTGTGGTTCTTTAGCTTATTTACACCCGTCTTATTCATATTGTTGACAAACGTTTGGCTCTATTGAACTGTTCTAGGTCTGGGACAAAGGTGATGATGGAGAATGGCACTGCACTGCTAGTTGGAAGGTATGAATTTATTTTATATTCTACTTTTTATGTGCTTTGGGGTAAATCTTCATGTAAGCCTATATTTGTATACCTCTAAAATAAAAAAGTAGCACTCTAAATGTGAAAATAATATCTCTGTCTGTCTGTTTTAGACCCATAGTGGTTCTGTTTGGAGGGTGACATGGGCGCATCCTGAGTTCGGTCAAGTGTTGGCATCCTGTTCGTTTGACCGCACTGCGGCTGTATGGGAGGAGATTGTCGGTGAATCCAATGATAAACAGCGTGGTCAGAGTCACTGGGTATGTTATTTACAGCCCTTTAAATTCAGATTTAAATGTCTGCTTTCTGGATTCTGTGTGTTATGATTTAATACAAATGTATTGGTAATCAAATGAATGCATAAAACTACAACAAATTAATTAGTCTTTTAAAATGTAATCAAATGATTTCACAATGTTAAATTCATTTTCTTGCAAACAAGGTGCTGTAAAATAGTGCTTTATTGTTCAAATTAAAACATGTACAATTTTCTTTTTGACTGGATTTTGCAATTTTCCATGTCATACTTGCTCAAAGAGTAGAGCTTGGTGCTAGCAATGGGTTCGTGCATGAAGTATGGTATAATTCAAGAGTATACATTGATTTCAGAGTTGCTTTGGATAAAGTTTCTGCCAAATGTAATCATGTTTTTGTGTTTAAATCTGAAGCAATGTGTTAATTTCTTCTGTGCTTCTCCAGATTAAGAGAACCACACTTGTGGACAGTCGTACGTCAGTGACCGATGTGAAGTTTGCACCAAAGCACATGGGCCTGATGTTGACCACCTGCTCTGCAGACGGTGTGGTGCGCATCTACGAGGCTCCTGATGTGATGAACCTCAGCCAGTGGTCACTACAACATGAGATCTCCTGCAAGCTCTCATGTTCCTGCATCTCATGGAACCCCTCCAGGTCACACACACACACACACACACACACACACTAACATATGAATATGATGGAAGTATTCTTGATTGTCACAACTGTTTGTTCTGCCTTTTAGTTCTCGAGCACATCCTCCAATGATAGCTGTGGGCAGTGACGACAGCAATGTCACATACAGTGGCAAAGTGCAAATCTATGAGTATAATGAAAATACAAGGTATTTTAATAATATTTGAAGTCTCCACCCAAAAACAAATATTCATCAGTTTTGCAACATGGATTTTTTTTCCTTCAGGGGCAACCAACCAATCAAAGTGTTCAAAATACTGACGGGCTCAGCCCGCCTCCTCCTCACGAAGATAACATTTTTTGTATTTTCCTTGCTCAGATGTTGTTTAAAATAAATAAATTAGGAACTTTCAGGTAGGATTCTTAAAAGCTTTAAGAATATGGCCCCAGGTCCATTATTTACTTTAACCCCTTAGCTGTCACCCCACGTTTTGAGAATGGGGGTTAAAATGCACTATTCAAACTTAAATGTTGGTAATTTAAGAATGCTTTGGAATATATACCCAAGTTTGGTCTTGTTTTAAAGAAAACACTTCAAAAAATGAAAGTATGAAAAAGTTTTGGAAGTTTAAATTTACAGTAAATCAAATATACTGTACTATATATATTTTATTTTATATAAAATATATTTTTTACTCTAAAATTTCTATAAAATCAAAGCCATAAATCTTATCAAGTTATGTTCCAAAATTTGAAGTTGATATCACAAAAATTGAAGTTCATTTTGTTTAGGCGTAGTACCAAAAATAGCCACCGGGTGCCATTGAATTCCATTGAATTTAGTCGTATACATTCTGCCTTAACAAATTAATACATTTCTGTCCAAATATCACTTCTGTCACAAAATGTGGAACCTTGAGACTCTGACCTTTCTGACAATATCAGTTTTGTCAAGATTAGAAAAGGTTTTGATCATAAATTATGAAATATAATGACGCCCAAAAGGGGAGGAGCCTGATAAAATAAGTACCGTTTCTATGGTAACACAACGTTCAATTATAAAACAGTTTTCACATGATGAATTCTGAGTTTATAAGCTTTCAAATGATACCTAATTTATGATAACTACTAAAATATGTGATGTAATAAAAAAGGCAATAAAAAATAATATTATATTTTAGAGGATAATAAATATAAATATCATTTTTAGATGATAATATTATACTATATTTTTTTTATTGAAAAATACTAGATTATATTTTTTATTATGAACTTTCAGCATAAAAACAGAAGTTTCAATGATTAAAAGTGGGTGCATCAACTTTTTGTGACAAAGGTCAAAACTCCTGTTATGATGCAGATTTTTTTGAGGTGCACTCTTGTCATAAATTCATCAATTACTCTTCCTACATAATTTTTAACACAAAACAGGGGTAAAAAATCCATTTAGAAGTCTTAGACCTTTCCAACGATATATAATTTGTCATAATTAGATTAGGATTTAATCGAAATATAAAGTACTTTCATTTCTGTTTCTGTTCTAATCATGCTTCTAATGGTTTATGTTGACTTGACTTTCAGGAAGTATGCCAAAGCAGAGACATTGATGACTGTGGCTGACCCAGTACATGACATCGCCTTTGCTCCTAATCTTGGGAGATCCTTCCATGTGCTGGCGATAGCGACCAAAGACGTCCGCATTTTCAAACTCATACCATTGAGGTGAATATGATGTCACACTCGGTAGTAAGAAAGCTAAGCAGTCAAATTGGTCATCTTAATCGATCTCTCAACAAGTAAAGTTCTCGTTTATATCGAGGGCTTGGAGCCAGAGGGGCGTGAGTGGCATTTTGGGCGAATATGAGTTCTTTATATCAAAATAAAGGTCTCGATGCGCTCCATCCAATGGTGCCAAAAACACCTATCTGAGAGCAAACTGTATTGAATAAAGCAACAAAAGGCGTATCTGACATATTTTAATTTTTTTTATTTGAAAATGTTTTAGAACATGTTCATTGTGTTAATATGCCATACATTACTTCATGTAAGTATGCCTGTGGTTGCAATGTTTGTGGTTTAAGGTTAATAATACAGGTGATTGAAGCGTGGTCAATTTTGTTTTGTCTCTCCTGTAAAGTTTGTTAAAAGCCACTTACGCCCTTCTGGCTCCAAGCCCTCGATGTGCATACCGCTCATAATGCGTCTTGTTGCAACGTTAAAGCTTAATGGTTTTATTTCAAAATAAAGAAATGAGAGAAAACAAAGAATCTTTGTTTCTAGTTTGCACTGACAAAATTGGAGTTGTGAGGAGCTGCGGAGCCTCATAGAAATTTGGTCTAATTACCAAATTAGGTCCAAACTCGAAGAACGGCGAATTCTTCGCTTTGTTTAGTAAACAGCTCAGGGAAAGGGGGTTTCATAGATCTGTTGAACTTTCCTGCACATTAACCCTGACCAATCGAAAGTGCAGTTATGGAAATGAGCTCAAGACACATCTGTGATGCATTTTGGTTTGTTTCATCAGCTAATTCGGACCAGAGCAAATCCGTGTGTTGTGAAGAGGAACCAAAACGCCCGAAAATGCAACAAAGCATCATTTTTCGAACAGTTGACGTTCATGTTATTTGTCTGACAGGAGAGAGAGCGCCAACAGCTCTGGTCCCACTAAGTTTGAGGTGCAAGTGATGGCTCAGTTTGACAGTCATAACTCTCAGGTGTGGCGCGTGAGCTGGAACATCACCAGTACTCTCCTGGCCTCCTCTGGAGATGATGGCTGTGTGCGACTCTGGAAAGGTCAGCTGTCAACTCCGTCTACTTCCTGCTGAGTGAATCTTCTCAATAATATCTCTTGATCATTGCTTTAGATATTTGCTTTACAGTCCAACTTTTTTTTTAATTATAAAATTATAAATACTTTTTATTTATTATGAAAATTGCAATATAATATTACAAATAGGTTTTAGCTTTCATCAAAGTGTATGAACTTTAAAGTAGAGCTACACGATTCTGGATAAATTGAGAATCATAAATACTTCACTTGTTTCATTACTGGATGAATCGGCGTGTTTGAACAATCGCTTCATGACAAATACTCAATTTTTATCGCTACCTTAAACATCAGTGTTTATAAATCTTTTAGAAAAACTCAGAAATAATGATACTGTGAGGTTGAAAAGATTGTTTGTGAAACTGTTCTCTCTGGGTCAGAGGCATTTATTTATTTATTTATTTTTTTATTTATTTATTTATTTTTTATCAAATGTTCAAGACAGCCGAATCGTTAGAAATAAGATCGCCTGGGTGTTTTGAATCAAGATCGTGATTTAAAAAAGATATATTTTTAAAGTCAGCATAAAATGAAAATTCACCTCAATTTTCTACATAAATGTTATATTATGTATCTTTTTGTGTATGATTTTGATTTATACATGCATCTTTTTTTTTTTTTAAGTACCTTATCATAATAACCCAATCGTACGATAAAAGAGCCAGACTTCATATTCATAAACCCAACCCTTTTAAACTTAAACCTCTAAAACTGCTTTTACTTTCTGCTGGCTGCTCAGGTTGGGGGAAAATTATATGGAATAATAATATCCCAACATGTTTAATAGTGATATATATCACATAATTTAAATTATGCTGTGAATTCTGGGTCATCTTGTGTGCAGCCAATTATATGGACAACTGGAAGTGCACAGAGATCCTGAGAGGAGACGGGAGCCCATTGAACGGCTCCTCTGGACACACTGCTGCTCTGAGCACCGTGGGCGTCCCTGGAGCGGCTCAGATGGTTGTTGGGGCGGCTTCTGCTGGCAGGTATGTGGCGGTGCTGTGATGTAGAGTATGACTGATCATTCGATATAGATATTGTTCCTTGAAACGATTAAAGATTTAAATTGAAATATGAAAGTTGATAGAATTAAGATAAGTGTTCATCACAGATGTAGTCATCTTTCCCCATCAGCGTTTTTGAAAAACGTTATCGGCCAATGCCAGCATTTTCACAAAAGTTTGATGGCCCAATCAGAATATTTTGTTTCTGTGAATATCTATATCAAACGAAAGAACAGACCCTCAGCTTTAAAAAAAACAAAACAATTTTTTTTTATTCTGGGCTTAATGCATTTTTTTTTATCAAACTTGAATGTGGGTATGATTCATTTAAAAAAAAGCAACATTTTGAGCAAAAATCTGAATTCGTGTTTTTTTCAAAGACTACGTCTGGATCTGATTTAGAACGATGATGTAAACATGGGGTTGATTGAGTCTATCAACTCAACTAAGCTACACAGTCCTATAGCTCGTCCTGGGTGATGTTTCATTCGGTAACATTAGTCAATTTTGATTTGTATGATTATGATATCACTTATTTCTTCGCCTGTGTTTTGATCAAGAGATTCATTACTAGTGTAAGATGCATAATAGCGCCCCCTACCATATAACTTACGAAAATTTCCCCGAAATTTCCGTCAACGGCGGGGAAAGTGTTAAAGTTCTGATTTAAAAAAAAACTCTTATTATATATGCATTTGAATGCATTTGCATTTTTTCCAAGTTTGTGGTTTGTTCATAATTAAATGTCTTAATTTTAACAGAAAAAAAGCTCAGCTGATGCCAGGCTAACGGCATAACATGGTGATTGGCTGCTTGCTGCATGCACACGCACAGGATTGGACAGAGACCTCATTGACCCCTCCTCTGCACGGTGTGACACCCGCACACTCTTCTAGCTACTAATCTGACAGAAGCGTGTGCTGACGGCACAATCTGTTGTGTGGCTGTTAAAGGAGCTGTGCTTTGTGTGTTCTCTTCAGTGGCACTCACCTGACATTAGAGCATTTTTGTATCGTTGAAGAAATTACACTAAACATAATTCTAATATTGACATTCTTATTAATTGTTGTGATGTGATGCAGTATTAACTATTTATTTTAATGTTTTGACGTTTCAAAGCATAGTTGTCTGCACCCGTTTCCATTGACTATATGTGAACTCTTGCTTTTAAAGGAACAGATCACTAAAAATGCTGTCATTGTTTATTTGCCTTCATGTTGTTCTAGAACTTTTTCTGCTGATACACAAAGGAAAACATTCTAAAAACCTAATTTTAAACAATAAAATAAAATCATTTGCTCAAAAAAGAACACTACACACGTCTGCGCTGTTAGTTTGAAGCTGATCACCATGTATTCTGTGGTGTGAACAGCAGAGGGAAACATTGGGTCACTCAAACTTTATTCTGTCTCCAAATATGCCTTTGGAATTACTGGCACATTACATTTAATTTGTCAAACTAACTGTATTCTAGTATTTCTGTACCTATTTTAAGGTATAGGCACATGCACATATTGTTTGTGTTCAAACAAGCAACCTTTTGCATCTCTAAAGCCTAATATTCAACGATGAAACATTTGCACTGCTAAGCAATATCTAATTCCGTTAATAAACCACCAATAGTTTTGGTGCATGAATAAATGAAGAGCTGGCATCTGATATTTAACTCTGTATATTAGCAATATCCATCCATGACATTATTTGTAGTGCTGCCTCTTTAATTGGAAACTCAAAAAGAGAAAATTGAAACAGTTCTAGAGACTAATGTAATGTCTTTTTTTTTTGTGTAAAACAAAGTTTGTTTTTTTCGGTTCTGATTTATGTAATAAAAACCTTTCTGAGGTTTCTCTGAATTGTGTGCTGCTCATTTAAAGAGATCTTATAAGAGTATGTTGAAGGAATAACATGTTATTTTAAATAGAAAATTTACCCAAACATGAAAATTACCCTATGACTTACCCTCAAGTCATCCTAGGTGTATATGACTTTCTTCTTTCAGACGATTCAATCGGAGATGCTGTATATTAAAAAAATGTCCTGGCTCTTCTAAGCTTTATATAATGGCAGTGAATGGAGAATGAATTTTTGAAGGCCAAAATGCAAAGAGCTCCACATGGCTCCAGGAGGTTTATAAAGGCCTTCTGAAGCGAAGCGATGCGTTAGTGTTAAGAAAAATATACATATTTATGTCTTTATAAGCCAAAATAACTAGCTTCTGTTCTGACAGACAGCTGTACGCATTGTTATACGCGAAAGAGTAACCCCTAACCTGACGCTTGACGTATTGGAAGAACGTGAAAACAGAAGATTGAGCAAAACAAAACACCGGTCACGAATAAAAAGTCTAAAATTAGAATTTTTTTTAAAGAGCAATGTCAGTTTTGGTATAAGAGAGCTTGAGTTTGTTGGCCAGCCTTGTTTGTCTGAACCGCAAGAGGCATCAAAGATTGGATGGATGCACGACTTCAAAATCAGCACCGCCATTCACTATTAAGAACAAGTCGTTTCTTCTTTAATGTCTAGTTTAGCAGTAGCTGACATTTATTTCCTTTTATTAACATTTATTCCCAAACTAGGTAGTCATATACTGAGAGGCAACTTAATTTAGATGATTTTAGTATTTTTAATTTAAATATTTAGTACACTGTAAAAATATTTTCAAGATTTATCATCACAACATTTTTTTTTGTCAAATCAACTTTATAATAATTTATTTAGTTGAGATAACTTATTATTTTGAGTTTCTGATGATTAAATGAATCTACTTCATTGTATTAACTCACTTTTTCCAGTTCAATCAACTTAAAATTTTAAGGCAACCAGGTTACTTACTTTTTTAAGTTAAACCAACAATATTTTTTTTACAGTGTATAGTGGAAAATCACAGAAAACTAGTTTGTAGACCAGTAATTAGAAATTTTGGTGGCTGGACGAAATCTCCCAATTTTTTGATTGATTAAATTCTAAAATTATTTTGACAAAAATTGCTCTTATAGTTAACAGTCTCCCATAGGCTTCCATTGCTAAAGCATTGTCGATAAACGTGATTGTGGTTTTTACAAACTGAAGGATAAGCTGAAATTGATATTTGTGGTACATCTTATCTCAAATTTTGCTGATAAACCATCATCCCATTGAAACTGGAGCATTTCTTTAACTCCTGAGAATGCTATCCCTTTTTCTGTTGTCATTGTGTGTCTGTGTTGTGGGCGTTTCTCGTTTCTTTTGCTTGCTGGGCTTCATACCCACTCTGTTCCTACAGGTACTTCTTCCCTCATTTGGACTCCCCCAGAGCTGGATCTCGTCTGGGCCACCTCCTGCCTCCTCCCTCTCTCATCGAGCAAATGAATGAGCCTGATCCCAACCATGCACCTCCGCTACGTCATCGACACATGGTGAACTCCGCCAGTCAACCCACTGACATTTTTCTTTTAAATGATCAGTAATGTCTTTATGTCCACATCATAATCACCCCGTCCCCCAAGAAAAACCCAACAACTGAGACGTAGCAAATTTCACAGACATTTGATGAAGATAAATGGAATATGGGTATGTCCCTGCAAAGAGAGGGACGGAGGGAGGTGGGGGGATTCAAAAGTAGCTGTCAGTATCTGGTGCCTTCTCAGCTGCCTTACTAGTGCATCTCATCCTTATGGACTGTGGCAGATTTGCCAGTTCTTGCTGTGAGATTTTTCTCCACTCTTCCACCAAGACTTGTACGTTTTCGAACATGTCTGGGGGTTTGACACAGCTAAGACAATCAGCTATCCTTCCTGTCTCCCTGTAGCACTATCTTAGGCTTCTTACATTACGAACTCTGTCCACATCTGCAGTCCTCCTGCAAGAAGGAATATGGCATGTTGTTCACACAGGTGATCAGGGACCCTGGTGTATTTCAGAGGCAGTATAAGTGTCTTTTTAGGCTGCGTTTACACTTGGCATTAACATGCGACTTGTATCCGGATGTTGTCCACAAACACATTGAAAAGCAAGTGTAAACGACGCACTTCTGATCGGAATAGTATCCGATCAGTGTGTCCAGGTTTGGAGGTAGTCGAGGAGAGATGATCATCACTGCTGAACATGAAATCCACGGGGAGCTTTAGGGATCAGCTCCACCCCCTGATCCCTAAACCCACCCCTAAACCTACCCAGGTACACCCCCTGATCCCTAAACCCACCCCTAAACCACCCAGCTCCACCCCCTGATCCCTAAACCCACCCAGCTCCACCCCCTGATCCCTAAACCCACCCCTAAGCCTACCCAGCTCCACCCCCTGATCCCTAAACCCACCCCTAAGCCTACCCAGCTCCACCCCCTGATCCCTAAACCCACCCCTAAACCTACCCAGGTACACCCCCTGATCCCTAAACCCACCCCTAAACCCACCCAGCTCCACCCCCTGATCCCTAAACCCACCCAGCTCCACCCCCTGATCCCTAAACCCACCCAGCTCCACCCCCTGATCCCTAAACCCACCCCTAAACCCACCCAGCTCCACCCCCTGATCCCTAAACCCACCCCTAAGCCTACCCAGCTCCACCCCCTGATCCCTAAACCCACCCTAAGCCTACCCAGCTCCACCCCCTGATCCCTAAACCCACCCCTAAGCCTACCCAGCTCCACCCCCTGATCCCTAAATCTACCCAGCTCCACCCCCTGATCCCTAAACCCACCCTAAACCCACCCAGCTCCACCCCCTGATCCCTAAACCCACCCAGCTCCACCCCCTGATCCCTAAACCCACCCCTAAGCCTACCCAGCTCCACCCCTGATCCCTAAACCCACCCCTAAGCCTACCCAGCTCCACCCCCTGATCCCTAAATCTACCCAGCTCCACCCCCTGATCCCTAAACCCACCCAGCTCCACCCCCTGATCCCTAAACCCACCCCTAAACCTACCCAGCTCCACCCCCTGATCCCTGAACCCACCCCTAAGCCTAACCAGCTCCACCCCCTGATCCCTAAACCCACCCCTAAACCTACCCAGCTCCACCCATCAGATCTGGATCCGCCCCCTGGATCTCGTGTACTGCAATGAGGTGCTGCTGGTCGAGGACAAAATAATGGCCAGACTCAGTTTAGACAAGTAATTAAACTTGTAGCGGCAACCTATAGCCGCTGAGAGGCTAGGCAGCAGGAAATATCCGTGACGCGTTTTCTTGCATTGAATATTCAGTAGCTTTTATTGACATACACGCAGAAACAATGAAGAACATACATGCTAACGGTCAACAGAAAGTGAGCACTCCCCGCTACTCACCCCCTCTCCACACACCCCAAACAGGAAACACTATCAGGTATATACCCACCAATACCCATGTGACCGTCACACCTGGAAGCGCACGTAAATTACAAAATAAAAGACAAAACATTTTCTACACTTACATTCCAGCCCCTGATTATTACACAATACTAATGCAATAATCACAAATATAATCAAAACATGAACAATATTAACACATATAATTGTTATACATGATTTTCTCCTTTTTTTTTTTTTTTTTTTTTTTCACAAAGGCTTAAGAAATGTGAAACAATACATGTGTGCGAAAGTGTCCAAGGCACTCAAGTGTTCATCATTGTAACGGAGTAAAGTTCATACAAAGTTCAAGTCTAAGTCAGTAAAGTCCGTAAATCAGTCAAGTCCAAGTCAAAAGGTCATGTCAAAAGTCAGTTGAGAGCTCTCAAATGTCAGTCATAGTTAATCTTTAAATTCCTCAGCTTCCAGAAGACGACAAATTTTGGTAATCGGCCTGGTTAAGCAGGTACTCCTAGTCTTGATCTTAACTTGCCTTGTCAATCCCTTTTTGTCCGTTATTGCGTGAATAATTTTACCCATGATCCAGGAACTTCTTGGTGCATTTTCATCCATTAACAGAACAACATCTCCCAACTGATAGTTCCGCGTCTTTACCATCCACTTTTGGCGTTCTTGCAGTAAAGGTAGATATTCACTAATCCATCTTTTCCAAAACAGGTTGGCTAAATACTGAATTTGACGCCATCTTCGACGGGCATACAAATCTTCCTTCTCAAACAATCCAGGTGGTAATGTAAACTTTGTTTTTAGAAGGAGAAGATGATTAGGTGTTAAAGCTTCCATGTCATCAGGGTCCAAAGATGATCTGGTTATGGGTCGGTTGTTAAGTATAGACTCTACTTCGCACAAGAGAGTATGAAGACCTTCTTCATTCAAACTCTGCCCTCGCAGAATGGAGTTCAGTATCTTCTTTGTAGATCTGATGAGCCTTTCCCAGATCCCCCCGTGGTGTGAACCGGTAGGAGGATTGAAAGTCCATTTAATCTTCTTTTGTAGAAGAACGTCGTTTATCTGACTCTGGTTCCAATTTTGTATCGCCTCTTTTAATTCACGATCAGCCCCGACAAAGTTCGTTCCATTATCTGAACGTATTTCTGTCACTTGTCCTCGTCGAGCGATAAAACGTCTAAGTGCGTGAATGAATGAGTCGGTGTCCAGTGAAGCAACCATCTCGATGTGAACGGCTCTAATGTTCAAACAAGTGAAAATGACTCCATAACGTTTTAGTG